CCCCAAAACCCCAAAACCCCAAAACCCCAAAACCCCAAAACCCCATCATGAGTCAGATGTTGAAATTTCTATTGAATATTAAATGTAATTTTGGAATTGAGCTTCATTATATGGCGTTTTAGTTTTGATTTCAGTTTTGAGCTAATCATCCTCATTTCTCCCTCTATTTCATACCTCTCGACTGAGTTCTTAAGCTTTATTGCCATTTCAAGATTGGATAGTTTTGGGAAATCATCAATAAAATCAAGAAATTCTGCTAGAACTACAAGAAATTAGCTCTTTTATAGCTCAAATCTTACACTCATATCATTCTGTTGTGATGGACAGGTCTATCAGGGTCTTTGCCTATACAAAAATTATAAAATCCTTTAATTTCTTAATATTTTTACCTTAAATCATAGTAAAGCTGGCCTAAATATTAACTTGGAAAGCTTACCAGATGGCATAAGTGATATCATTTTGGAAAGTGAGAGTCTTTAGATTTTTTTCACCAAAGAAAAGAAGAATAATCAACAAATCCTTTGCCTTTTCAGCCTCAAATTCTTCTTTTCTTGTAACCTTAGTGATATTGTCTAAATTTTTAAGCAAGGAGTCTAACTGCTTTGGGTAAAATTTTCTCACATTGCATCATCAATTATGACTAATTCTATTTCTGTGGCTGAGTGGAGATCCTTAATGACAGAGAGTTCACCTAAATTTGTCCAGACAGAGAGGTTCACTTCTAATCTCATTTTATCAACTCTGTATTTGCAAAGAGTCTTGAAGTCCTCGAATTTATTTAATTTCAAACTTAAATTCATAGTTAAGATCAGCATTGACTTGAGGAGAGAATCCTGCAACGAGGTTTGCTTTAATCTTCTCCCAAATAGGAGTGGAGTAAAGACTTTCTTTGGTAGTAACTACTGCTACATGGGTAATTTCTGATTGATTAATAATTTTCGTTCCAGAATCCTTTGGAAGGATGATTTTATCCTCAGATTCAAATTTGTTTGCAACAAGTCTTGTGATTTCTGCATCCAAGAAGATGATGAAGTCTCCTTGAATAATTACCTTTCTCATCTCGAATTCGATATATACTCAGTTTATCTGGATATTTGAGTCATTAACCCCGTTTCTTTCTAATGTTGTCAAGCTGTTATTTTTGCCTAACAGGAGTCAATTATTAACAGAAATTGTGCTGTGCACATATTCATCTAGCAACAAAGGCCTGGTTACTTCAAGGATCTGATCTAACCTCATCTCATAATCCTGTAGCAACTTAAAGGTACGGATGAGTTCACCGTGATCAAAACATTGTAGAATCAATTTGATGGGACCTAACTTTTGTCTAAAATCCATAAAGAAGCTCAAGGCATCTTCTTCGTTTATCATGCTGACTATAAATTTTGTTAAGGTGATCTCCTCTAAAAGAGGGCAGATGGAGAACTCCTCTAATTTTTCTGGCAGCTCTTTCTTGCAATAATTATAGTCAATACTTGCTTTCTTCATTCTGTAAAAGTTTAGATAATTTAGATAAAAATTTGGAAAGTAGACTTACGTGAAGTATTCTCCTTTGAGCAAATCAGGAAGAGGGAAGGAATCAACCAGGTTCAGCATTTTGCTATTCAAAAACATCTCTCATTGCTCAAAGTTGTGAGTGTTCACCTGAAGCTCTTCACAATGCTTGAGGTAAATAAAATTCTTCTGTCTAGCATTTAGCCAATAATTAGTGATGTTAGGTCCGTCAATATCTTCTATGTCCTTTTTGATGAGATAATACGATTCATCATTCAAATTCTCATCAATATGGAAGATTATTTGTGCAAAATGTCTTGCCAACCCTCCATCTGAAATAAAGCAAAGGAGTTCTATGGCTTCGTCAATATTCTCATTATTGATTGGGAAATATCAGTATGTTTTGAATAGCTTGAGGAGAAACTTCTAATCAAATATTAGCACCATAAAGAAAATAATTATGATTAAAACAAAGACTTACATGTCTCTTGATCTCTGTATTATCTCTATATCTCTGGATATCCTTTACACTGCAGAAAGTATCCCTTCAAACTTCATTGAAGGAATTCAACAATTGGTCTTGGAATGATTCACTCATCGACTTGGTGTTTTTACAAAACAATTTCATAAAGAGCATGATCTGATGAGTGTATCCATAGTGCATGAGTATGTTCTTAATAACATTAAACTCTTTCAAGATCATAAAGCTATTTCTGCGCTTTCTGCTTTCCATTTGGGGATCCATTACTTAAATTATTATCAATTAATTAAGACAAGTTCGGGGTTTTGGGGTTTTGGGGTTTTGGGG